ACATTTTGATAGAATACACTAGAGACAAATAGCTTTTTCTTTTAGTATGCGTTTTATAAAAATTCAGTGAAAGACCTAAGTACAGAAAATATTTGAAAGAGACCACCATCACACGTATAATAATTATTTTAGAAGCTTTGAATATTTCAAGCTATATAAAATTAATGCTCTTGAAATATGTTAGAATACTGGAAAAAAAATTTGTCCGATGATTATTTTTCTATAAGAAATTGACCATCAAAGTTAAAAAAAATCAATTGTGTGGAATATTTTTTAATCTTTTGGTTATTAATATTATAGTTAAAAATTTTGTTAAAATTAATCTGTTAAAACAAATTCATATCTAAGCATTATACTATTAAAGTGATATTAATCATTGTAAGATATCATCTTACAATGCCACGCATCAACAGATTCACATCTAAGCGTTTTTTTAGATAGTGATGTTAATCACTGTCAGATATCATCTATACTGTCTTAACTATACTGGGTCTTTACTGTGCTGGGTTTTTTTTTTAGTTTATAAGTGAAATAAATTATTTGTATTCAATGGATGTATATGGGATATGTAGAAAGGGAACCATGGGTTTCATTTGGGGAGGGACTGGGTATGCGGTTTCATCCTTACTTTAAAAGCAGTCCAATTCAATTTTCAAAAACATTGTATTATCATTGTTACACGGGTCAATAAACAAATATTTAATTATCAATGAATTGAGTAAACAGTAAATATATCATGCTAAACAATTGATATTCGTACCGGACGCAAAATATTGATATTGATGTTCGTAATTGTTTTTATCACGACTTTTTTGTTCCGTAGTTAATGACAATAATCGATAAAGGTAATGAACTGATAAAAATAAAATTCAACGATTTCTACGACCCTGATGCTACGTTATATTATATAACATTAAAATATTAAATATTATTATAGTTTATGTCCTTGTGGATAGGTGATAAAAATACTTCCACGGCCCCTCTGTCTTTGATCAATAGCCTGCGTAAAATTTTTGTCAAAAATTATGAGGAGTCCTGAACAAAACTTAGGCGGATTGACCCATCTCGAATGTACGCGAGGACAACAGGTGAGTGTAAATAAAATAGTTAAAAACGGAGAAGGCCTAAGGAATAAAGTGTTTGATACCAGGCTAACAACTTGTGCAATAGTTGTTTCACCAGTCATTTGTACAGATCTACCCAACGATTGTAGTGTCAACGGTGTAGGGACAACACCACTTAACTCTAGGCTAGACTCGTATATAAGGGAGAAAGATAAATACAAAGTAAAAATAGGTATTTGGAATGTTGAAACGTTAACTGGTAGAAGTAGAGAATTAGTACAAGTATTGAAGAGAGAAAAATTAACATTTGTTGTGTGCAGGTAACAAAGTGGAAAGGAGAAAAATCAAGAGAAATAGGTATAAAATAATATTCTCAGGTAAGTCTAATAAAGTTATACCAGGCGACAGTGTAATTTCACAACATATACTAATGATAATAGAATTGTGGTGTAGTGGGAAGAGAATATACAAAAACAGAAAAAACACAGGATTAATGGTGAGATGAAGACGTTCAAAAAGTCATAGAAAATAAGAAAGGGTAATACAAAATATAGTGGAAGAGCAAAAGGAAAGAAGATTGGACAGAGTATAAGCGCATGTACAAAGAAACTAAGTTTGCAGTAAGTAAGGCGACAGACTTGTAAAAGTAAGAGAAAAAAGGTGTAAAAATTATCACTATGGAAGGCGTGTAAAAAGTGTTACTAATAGGGTGCTATTGAGTGATTATGATGTAAAAAAAACAGGAAAGAGTGTTTTGAAAAATTACTGAATAAATTCCTCAATTTAAAATACCCAGCACAGTAGGGATGTGGCATAGTTGGGTCAAGTATAATGATACCTGACAGTGATTAAAATCACTATCATAAGAAAGGCTTCGATGCAAATCTGTACATAGTGTTTAAATTTAAAAAAATAGTGGATTATTCTAAAAGCTACATGATCTATAATTCCTTATTTATATACTGATTACAAGTTTTATGATTTATAAGTGTAATATATGAATAAATGTATATATTTATAATATATAAATATGTAAAGGGAAATGGTGTTTTTTAAAAAAAATATGTCGAATGAAAGAGGGAGATAATTATTATTTCTCATAAAAAAATTGTATTGATCTATACACATTTTAATAAGTTATAGTATTATAAAGTTAAAAATGTAAAATATAAAATCGATAATTTTCACACAAAAATAGCATTCGGTAACTAATTTTACTGTGAAGACATAATGAAGTTCGAAAATTTTTTTTCCATAATAAAGTATATTACATTATCTTTAATTTAAGATATGTATAAAAGTGTCAGAGTATCCGTAACACTTTCAAAATTTAAGTTGAAAATGTCGTCATTTTAAATCCCACCCTATGGGCAGGTAAAGGGCCAGATTAAAAATAAAATTATATTGATCCATACATTTTTTAAAAGTTATAGCATAATAAAGTTAAAAATATAATAAAGAATTTTTTTACAAAAATCGTATTTTTTTTATTAATTTGATGACTGTTTTCACCATGAAAACAATATAAAGTTTGAAATTGTTTTTTTCCATAATAAAGTATATTACATAAGTGTTAATTTAAGGTATATATAAAAGTGTCAGAGTTTTCGGAACATATTCAAAAGTTAAGTTGAAAAAGTTCTATTTGCTATATGCATTTTTAAGATTTGAACCCCCCCCCTGTATTAAGGGAAATGGTCCAATTTAAAAAAAATAAGTATGCCACATAAAAAAAAGAATATAAATAGTACTTATCTTAAAAATAATCGTATTGATCCATACACTTTTCAATAAGTTATAGCATTATAAAGTTACGATTTGTGATTTTTTGACATATCGTTGAAAGAAATCGGTTCGATGTGAACTAATAAAAAGTGGTAACAAACACAAAAAAAAGAATAGAGTAAAATTAATACCTTGTCAGCTTCGCATCAAAGCTAAAAATGAGGAGTATCAAAATGACATTAGAGAATATTTCGTGGAACGAGGGACTAGTAGTTTTAATGAGTGATAAAGTGGTATGGGAAGCTGTGGAGTAAATGAAAAGAAATAAAGCAGTAGATTAACTGACAATAAAAATATGGAAAATATTAGGCGGGTTGGCATAAGGTGGTTGAAGGAACTTTTAAATAAAATCTTATTAGAAGGGAAAATACCAAATGAAAAGTATCGTGGTGCTGATATTTAAAGGTAAAGGAGACAAACAGGAGTGTAGAAATTATAGAGATATAAAGCTTATGAGTAATAGTATGAAAATTTGAAAAAGATAAAAGAAGAAAAAAAGGAGAATAAAAAATGTGAAATCGGTATCTAAAAATCAGTTTTGATTTATGCCTAGTAAGTCAACAATGGAGCTATTATTTTGAGTAAAGCTTATGATAGAGAACCGAGAGAGGTTTTAAAGTGGGAATTAATGAGAAAAGAAGTCCCCAAAAGGTACATTAATATAATAGAGGGTATATATTATGGGTAAAGCGTTGGAGGAGTAACAGAAGGTTTTAGAGTAAAAGTAGGAATTCACCAATGTTCTGCTAAAAGCCGTTCCTTATTTTGATGTAGTTATGACCTTATTTTATATAAATTAAACAACACCGTGATTAAATAAATATTCAAAGATGATATATTGTTATTATTAATTTATAAACAAAAGCAGTTAACGTAAAACTAGGTGTTCTGTAAGGAAGTTTAAAGATGAATTATGTTTGTTATATGGTGCATCGCTGGACCGGTTCGTGTCACCCACGGTCACTCGGTGTCGCGCGACCTGTCGTACGAGGAGAGGTAGCTCTGTCGCAGTCACCATCCAGCGGTAAAGCCGGAAGTGCAACGCGACCGCGTCAATTTTCTAAAGTAATGGTTCTAGTTATTACTATTTTACATATTGTTACTAAGTTATTTATTTCAATATGTATTTTTATTAAAAATTGAAGTTATTAAGATTTAGAATAAATAAATTTTGAGAAACTAATGAAGGAAAAAAGAATAGTGAAATGAAATAAGCAATAAAAATTCTAAAATATTTGATAGGTTACTTTATCCTATAATAATTAGCTTCGATGCGGAGCTGAGAAGGTATTAATTATACTATGATGAGTTTTCTTTTTCATTATTATTTTTTTTTGTGTGTCTGTTACCACTTTTCTTTCTTAGCTCTCATCGAGCCAATTACTCTCAACGATATGTTAAAATATTACAATTTGTATTTAGTTGAAGAAATTGCCCTTAAAAATTGATAAAGTTTCTCTTATTTTTTTTAAATGAGGAAATCCCCAAAAAATTACGATTTTTAAAATCGGTAAATGTGTAAATTTTTTTCTTAAATTTAAATGCTATAACATTTTTAAAAATGAACAAATTCAATCAAATTAATTTTTTTTTATATAAAAACCTTACTTATTTCCATTTTATTTGATATAAATTTTTTGAAAACCTGTCACAGGGGGATAGGTAAATAGTTTTTTAAAATAGCAAATTTTTCACAAAAGTTAATTTTGAAAATGTTCCGAAAATACTGCTTTCTTTAAATATATGTTAAATTGAATCTTATATTATGTATTTTAAATAAAAAAAAAAATTTGTCACGACGACATATCATCAAAGACTATCAAAGTTGAACAAATTTATTAAATATTTAATAAATAAATTTAAATAAATTAAATATTTATTCATATAATACACCAATATATCATAAATCTTATAATCAGGATTTAAGTAAGGAAATAAGAGTATTTTTTGCTTTTTGAATAGTCCACCAATTTCTTAAAATTTAAAACTACCTATAGATTTGTATGCAAGCGATTTTTATGATAGTGATTTTAATCACTATCCGATATCATGTATACTTGTGCTAACTATGTCACGTCCATTCTGTGCCGCGACCTTACTTTGATATCGTTTATGATTTTTATATTAATAAAAATATTATTAATAAATAAAATGTATTTTGTTCTAGTTGAATCAATTTTAGATGGAAAATTCACTGATCCTCCGCCATTAGACTTAATGACAGCGTTCGAAGTTTCTAATTGTTTAACGCCATTGTTGTTTGTACTATCACCGGGAGCTGATCCAACCGCAATGATACTTAAATTTTCAGAAAAAATGGTAGATTTGAGAGACTAGAACTCACTATTTTATTTACATATAATTATTGCTATAATGTCTAATATTTAGGGGTTCGGCAATCGTTTAACAACATTGTCACTTGGTCAAGGACAAGGTCCTATAGCAACTAGACTCATAAATGATGCGTCTAGAATGGGAAACTGGGTACTGTTACAAAACTGTCATTTGGCAAAGAGTTGGATGCTCAAGCTAGAAGGGGTAATTATAATATTATGAATGTGTAACACATATATTTTTTAAATAGCTTTAGTAATTTTTAAAGGAGAATTGAGATATATTAAACTAAAAAATACCATTTTTTAAATGTAATTATAATTTTAAGAGATATCGAGTGACTATTATTAAAACAATAACCCTGTGTACAATAACTATAACTTTTTATAATTTCACCGTAAAATTTATAGTACTAAATTATTCAATATCAATATCATACTAAATTTAATTACTAAAATTCAATGGATTTTAAATTCAAAAAAATTTAATGTAAATATCATTTACATAACATTTATAAATTCTGGTGATCACATCATTATGATCTCTTTTTTATATAGTATTTTAATTAAAAAAATATCTTGGAAAAATGAGGTATAATTTATATTTTTCTCAATTATGCGTGTCTCCACTGTAATGGGTTGGATTTTTTTTAAACGTAGTTATAAGTAAGGTTTTATGAAAATCCAATTTAATTTATTAGAATATTAGATTTAAACAATTTATTCATTTAACCATTATTATTCTTTTTATAGCCTTTAAAATTCTCCAAAAGTTTTAACCGTCATCACCAAATTATATCATTTGTTATCTTATTCTTGTACTATCTTTACCTTTAGGTTTTCATTTGAGCACTATTTTGGTTACTACATCCGTATTCCGCCTCATTATATGTCCTAGCCAGTGTAACCTATGACTCTTTAAGAACCCATTAATTATTGCTGTTTTTGATTCTTCCTTTAATTCTTAGTTGAATTTCCTGCGCACAGACTGGTCCCCGTATCCAACCTGACCGGGCTGCATATTTGTCTTCATATTTTATTTTCAAATAACTTTAATTTTAGTTGTGTTACACTTGTAGTAGTCCATACTTTTCGACCTTAGACTTCTCTATGTTAGTAGTGGCCTTATTATAGATGTGTATAGTTTTATATTTATTTTTTTCTTGAAATTGATTAAGATTTAGAGAACTTTAATAGGGCGAACAACGCTCTCTCTGCTTTTGTTATTCTCGTTCCAATCGCCTGGGACCAATTATTTTTGGTATTTAGTAGTATACCTTAATACTGAAACTTCTCGACTTTCTTATATAATAGCGTTTAATATTTAGTAGTTTCATTAATTTGTAACCTTATTTGTTCTGCTGTCCGCTATAATGCTTTAGTAGCTCTCACTATATCATCCAAGGAGTGTCCTAGTATATTAAGATCGTCTACAAAACTTGATATTTATCTACGTTTATTCCTCTTTCTTTATTTTGCAAAAACTTACTGCCTTTTCAATTTTTTTTAATCTTCTACGAAGGAAACTTGTGCTACATGTTACTATATTCTTTCAAAATGCAAAAGATATGATTATTATTCCCTTGGCAATGCTAAAATTATGGCAACTTTCTTTTCATTTTGTAGGTTGGCATTGCATTTCTTTACCACACATAACGTTATTTAAGTAACCTACAATTAACTTTATTTCATATCCTGATGTTTTGACATATATTCTGCCAAAGTGTTTGTAGAAGCAGTCTATATCGTTTTCGGTACTTACTTCAGTTGGTGCATGTATTCATATTAAAACCAAGTTTATCGAAATGTATTTATTATAAAACTGCAATCTTTTCCAATACAGAATCAATTTCTCTTATATATTAACTAAAAATTTATGAACAGCAAAACCACTTCCAAAGAAATATTTTCTCCATACCTATGTAGAAGATTACGTACTCTCCAACTTTTAATTATCCAGCAACCGTCTATCGAATTTTTTGCAATGCTGCTATTTTTATTCCGTACGTAAATCTATTACATTTACCAGATGCTGACAAGATCTAGCTTGAAATAGGCTTGTTGTATTCCATGTCGCAATCTTTATTTTCACAATCTGTTTTTTATGTCCTAACTTATAACATTTTCATATTTGTAACTGATTTTTTATGGTTTTATAACTTCTACATTTTCTCAAACTTAGGTTATTAACCCCACACTTATCCAACAGCTTGAAAAATCAGATCACAACCAATTAAGGTTTGGGTAGGACTACTGCAATAATGCACCAATGCAATCGGAACTCCACTTTTCCTTCGCCTCCCAATTAATTTTTTGATCAAATTAATTAAATAATTTATTCTTATATTACCCTTACAGCATTAATATGTGCTTTAACATTTTTAAGAAATATATTTAATGAACATGAATATTATATCATATAATTTATATAATTATGAAATAATTTTATTATTTAAAATTATATGTAAAATAATTTTTAGAATTGACACGATTTCTAAATTTGGTCTTTATTTTTATAAATCTAACTTAACACTAAAATTTTAATAAAAGAATTATAGTTTGATTAATAATTAATTTTTTTTTTTTGTTCGACACGTCAAAATCTAGTCAATTAACCGCGGTATACTTTGACTAATCAGAAACTCAATTTTTTGTTTTAAGGTTTTATTAAAAACTTTAGTAACATCGTATTATAGTAATTTTTATTAATTAATTATTTAAGGTATAGAATAAGTGTAAATTACAATAATAAAACTATCAGTATATACAGATCATATAATTAACGCGTTCAGTATAACAGCCACAATAAATACATGTTGGAGCATTACGCAAAAATTGTAACGCTTGATAAATTTCACTTCCCAAGCAAAAATGTCTAGACACCGCATAAAATATTTCCATATCATATATTTTATTAACATAGATTTAGTTAGGATATTTAATGTAATAACCTACGTTTAATTAATTTTATTTGTAAATCTTTTATATTTTGTCGTATGTTTTAGATATGTGAAAATTTTTCATTAGAGCATACACACCCAGAATTTCGACTGTGGCTAACATCATATCCAGTAGATTACTTTCCGGTCGTGATTTTACAAAACAGTGTAAAAATTACCAATGAACCTCCTAAAGGCCTTAGAGCAAATATGTACAGGTACAAATAAACAGTTTAAATTATTCAATATAATAAATTATAAGACAACAAACATAATTCAGCCTTAATATGTAGCCACCGTAATTTGATTGTGTTAGGCTATGTAGGTTTTCTTGTCCTTTCTTAAAAGCAAATAATATCGAAAGCGATTGTTTTTAAGGAAGGATGGTTAATAAAAATAAAGCGCTTAAAACAAGAATCAGGTATTTGTGTTATTTTTTTAAATGTTCAAGAGGCAATAAAATTGATAATCTTATTTCTAATGGTATGAAAACATTGTAAAAGTAGATATTTATTCTCCATACGATTAGCTATATATAATTTATTACAGAATCTACCATAAGTACATTTTTTAACGAAAACAAAGAATAAAACTGGAGATACCTGATTATTACACTGAAACAAACAAATTTATTTTTCTATATTTTATTTTTATAAACCTTATAGCTATGAATTCCAGGTGGCTCATATTAAGAGGGGCTTAGTATTTTAGTCTATAAAGAGAGATTATAGTTGTTTTAAAACGTAGTATAGACTAATACAAAAAATATTAATCCCAATGAAAACGAAATAAACAATAACAAAATATGAGTTACTAAGTAACACTTGTATATTTTAATACTTAAGTGTGATATCCTTACATACAACGAAAACAAATTGCACTAAAGAAACAAAACAGTAGCACAGTGTGGACATGGCATAGTTGAGTTAAGTGTAGATAATATCTGATAGTGATTAATATCACTATTATTAAAAAAGCTTCGATACAAATCTGTAGATAGTGTTAATTTTTATAAATTGTTGAATTATTCCAAAATCAAAATTATTCCTATTTTTCGTTCAACTTCGACGGCCATATATAGAAGATAAATCATCAATTTTTTTTTTAATTTATAGTATGTAACATAAGATTTAATCTATTATATGATTAATGAACGCAGTATTTCTAGATCATTTTCAAAAATTAATTTGAAAAAATTGTTTTTTTGTGAAAAATTGTTACTTTGAATCCTCAACTGTGGGCAAGCAAAGGATTAGGTTTTGAAAATCTGACACGACTTACTTCGCAATAATGTAGTCGACTACATGGTTTTGAGGTTGAGACCCGTGGGCCGTTTATTAATGAACAAAAACAGATTATTTTAAAAAATAAACAAACCGAAAAGAAGAATACAGTAATAATAATCTTCGAATAATATCGCGGAACTTTCTCTGGCGTCTACGACGCGGTATCCGACATGATCTTCGGTCGTCAAAAATTAGCAGCGTTAATAATGACGGTGCGCGGGTGCAGTCGGTTCGTTGAGTCCGGTCGTACGGCATGTCCGGAGCCGGTATTGTACATCCACGACGTTGTTACGTTGACAATGAGAAGAAGACTCTTCGTATCATTTAAGGCGGGTTGTCGTCGGCCGTGCGGCACTTGCTAGACTTTACACCATAGCGTATAACGCGCGGTGTTGGTCAGTGAAATATTCATTAAATAGGGCGACGGCTGATAAAAAGGTGGCACAAGTCGCGGGGCATCGTGTATAACGAAGCAACGCAGGGCCATGTCAAAACATTGTATCAAAGGAAATTGAAATACCTAAAATTTCTGTGTAAAATAATTTTTGTTTTGTTAGTTTATTTTTCAAAAAGTTTTGGCAGTTTTAAGAAAAAAAAATGTCAAAATTCACTAATTTTAATAAATTGTAATTTTATAAAAAACTATATCAAGGGAAAATTTTATTTTTTTAAGAATAATGTCTTCAATTAGATACAATTTGTAATCTTTTGAAATATGATTGAAAGAAATTGGTTCTATGAGAGCTAAGAAAAAAACTCATTATAGTAAAATTAATACTTTCTCAGCTTCGTATCAAAGCTAATAAATTAGGCAGTCAGATTGTTTTTGATTTTATTAAGTATACTTAAATAATAATGACAAGATAATACTAATTAGAAATTTTTTTAATAAAACACAGTAACTGTTAAATACTATGTAAATGAAACAACCATAAAATAACAATTAACGAATCAGATTCACTAATATTTTTAAGAAAATTTTTCAGTATAATAATTGTATAACTTCAGAGTTACATAGTTATTGTACCAAAATCTAAAAAGTATATCTATTTTTATATATTAGCCTATTATAGGACAGATTTATCTAGTTGTTGTACATAACTGTAGACAAAACTTTCCATTATCAGATATTGTACAAAAATAAATTTTGAATAAAGTGTAGATACCTAGTTCTTGCTATAGACAATTCAAATAGCATAATAGTAATAAAAACTAATAGATTTATTTAATAGATCATTTTCAACTGATCCAATTGTTAATGAAGAATTTTTCTATGGATGTAAACAAGGAGATAAGTTTAAGAAGCTAGTATTTGGTTTATGTTTCTTTCATGCACTTGTCCAGGAGCGACGTCATTTTGGATCTATTGGCTGGAATAGGCCTTACGAATTCAATGAAACTGATCTTAGAATAAGTGTCTTACAGCTTCAAAATTTCTTAAATGAATACTCTAATGTTCAATATGATGCGTTACGTTACTTAACTGGAGAATGCAACTATGGTGGTCGCGTTACAGATGATTGGGATCGTCGATGTTTGACTACTTTTCTAAATAAATTTTACTCAAAGTCAATTGTTAAGTACAAAAATTATAGATTTGATAAATCTGGTACTTATTTCAATATTTTGTGTATTATTTTTTTAATTAACTAAAATAAATTTTGCAGGAATTTATTATTGCCCAAATTTAGAAAAATATGAAGAGTTTATAGAATATATATTAGGATTACCTTTAATCACACATCCATCTATATTTGGTATGAATGAGAATGCTGATTTAATAAAAGACCAACAGGAGAGCAATTCACTCTTAACCTCATTACTTAGTACTCAAGTACCATAACAAATTACCTTTTTAAGCAATTATGACATTACCCTAATAAATATTTAACCAATAATTAGGATTTAGAAAGCTCCAGTGGTGGAAAAATTATTTCTCCAGAACAGCTTGTTGCAATGTTTGCAGATGATACTCTTAAGAGAATACCACCTCCATTTGATACAGTTATTGCTTTAGAAAAGTTCCCAACAACCTATAATCAATCATTAAATACTGTACTTGTTCAAGAGATGGGCCGATTTAATAATCTAATAAACACTATAAAAAATAGCTTAATTAATTTACAAAAAGCAATTAAAGGTCAATTTACATTGATATTTTAAAAAATTTGTTCAACTAAATTTTATAATATTAGATTAAATTATTATTTAAGTTTAAGTCCCAGAAAGCCCTTTTTAGGTTCGATGCAAAGCTGAGAATTTATTAATTTTACTATGATATGTTTTTTTTTATATATCTGTCGCTAATTTTTCTTAGCTCTCACGGGACTAATTTCTTTTAGCCATATGTCTAATTATTACAAATCGTATCTAATTAAAGACATTGCTCTTAAAAATTGAAAAAATTTCTTATTTCCTCTGTAAATATTATAATTTTTAAAATCGGTAAATTTTGACATTTTTGTCTCTTAAAACTGCCATAACTTTTTGAAAAATGAACAAATCAAAATAATTTTTTTTTAAATTTCTATGTAAATCTTATATATTTCAATTTCATTTGATATTAATTTATTGAAATTCTGACTCAGTACCAACTTACAGAGGGTGATTTAAAATAGCAATATTTTTATAAAACTCAACTTTTATCTACTTAACTTTTGAAAATATTCCGGAAATACTTCGTCCTTTAAACATACGTTAAATTAAAGTTTATATTACATACTATAAATTAAAAAAAAAATTTATCATAACGACTTATCTTCTATGTGCAAATTGCAGCCATAGTTAAAAACAAGCTATTTTGTGTGTAAAATTTTTGATTTTATATTTTCAATTTTAAATTGCTATAAATTTTAGGAAAATGTATAGATCAACAAACATTTTTTATATATACTTTATATATACCTCTGTCCTCCGACATAATTTATTTTAATTTTCCCATTATATAGGGGGTGTTCAAATGACAATCGAAGGTAAACAAAAAAATTGAGTTAATTTTGCTTTTGTAATAATCCACTAATATCTTAAAATTAAACAGTATCTACAGATTTGAATCAAAACGTTTCTTATTATAGTGATTAAATCACTGTCATATTAAATCTATACTTGTCCCAACTGTGGCACGACCTTACTGTTCTAACATTTTTTTTTAATAATATTATATTAATTTTTAGTTATTTTTCAAATTCTAGTGCTTTTGTCTGTCCTTTTATATATGTACATTATTATTATTAATTATATTTCTGAAAACCATAATTCTAGACTTTAAACGTCAGACTTTTAAGCAAACTAGTAAACATGATTTTAATGATGTTTAATTATTAAAACTAAAATATTTTAATTTTTAGGTTTAATTTTACTATCTAATGATCTAGAAGAGATCTATAACAGCATTTTAATCGGAAAATTACCTACATCATGGGCAAAAAGTTCATACCCGTCATTAAAACCATTAGGAAGTTATTTAATCGATTTTTTACAACGAATAGGTTTTTTACAAGTAATGTAAACTTACTGTTTTTAAGAGTGTTTCAATTATTAATGTTCCATTTCCAACTTGACGATAATACTTAGATATTAATTTTCATAGTAAAAATTACGGAGTCAACTAATTAGAAATTAGTAAACCTGCATACAAGTAAAATGAAAAATTAACAAAACTTATGTTTTAGTGTTAATACATCTAATACAATTTATTATTTAAATGGAGTTTTAAGTGCGAAACAAATACTCTTGACTTGAAGACTCTTATTTAGTTTTTAATGAGTACAAATAATAAACATAATTTGATATTTAATTAATTTTTAATAAAGAAATGGTACATGCATGGTGCTCCAAATGTATTTTGGTTGTCGGGATTTTATTTTACACAAGCTTTTTTAACAGGAGCACAGCAAAATTTTGCTCGAAAATATAAAATTCCAATTGATATTTTGACATTTGATTACAAAGTATAAATGAATAACCAAATTAATTAAGATTATTTAATTATTCCTTTTATTTTAAAGATCATGGATAAATCATTAATAATAGAGAAACCACCAGATGATGGCGTTTTTATATTCGGAATATTTTTAGATGGTGCTAGATGGAGTAACAAAAAAAAAATCATCAAAGAATCAAAACCAAAACAATTATATAGTACAATTCCAATAATACATATGATTCCCATAAAAAAAGAGGACCTTCATCTTAATAATGTGTATATATGTCCATTGTATAAAACTGCTGAAAGAAGAGGAACTTTATCCACAACTGGACATTCAACTAATTTTGTGATTTCTTTGTTTATACCTACTGATAAAATATCAGATCATTGGATAATGAGAGGTGTTGCAATGCTTTGTCAATTGTCCCATTAAATTTAATTTTAACTATGTGTTTCAAATATTACACTTATAAATAACTATTACTAAACATAAAGTTTTCATGCACTTATGTATATAATTAATTATTAATCATAATATTAAATAATTTTTATATATGTAAGATTATATTATTACCATTTACGTAATATCTTCAAAAATTTTTTTTTTTTTATTTACTTTGAATATTTACAATCTATTCTACAAATTGGTACAACAAGTAAATTTGATGTTTAAAAAAAAAAATGATACTAAGAATGACATGAATTATAATGAAATGGAAATGACTCATTAGTCACACCTCTAGCATGTTCTTTATTTATTTTAGTTACGAATAGTAGTTTGTCATTAGTTATTTAGAAGATCTCTATTCCATAGTCGTTTTAGTCTGCGAGAAGGATTTGATTTATCTTCATTGATTTTTACACGCCATTTTTTTGCCCACAAGTTAATAAGGTTGGCATGATATTGTAGTGAAAGATTGGCTGCATTAGGATCATTATTAATCGATAATACTGCTGTATTGTCTGCGTATGTGGCTAAAATTGTTTTATTAGCTTGAGGGATATCAGCAGTGAATGCATTATAAAGGTCTAGTGATAAATCACTTCCTTGAGGTACACCTGCATTAATTTTTTGGTATGATGAGAATTTATTTTCTTGGCAAACGACAAAGTGTCTGTTTTCCAAATATGATTTTATAATGAGAAAATATGGAGCAGGTAAATAGTGTTTTAAGTTGAATAGTAAGCCTTCATGCCAAACCCTATCAAAGGCCTACGCTACATCAAAAAATAGGCCAGCACAATAATGTTTATTTTCAAGCGTTGTTGCAATTTCATCAGTTAGTCGGTGTATTTGATGTATTGTTGAATGTCTGTTGCGAAACCCAAACTGACTATTTGGTATAATGTTATGTAATGATAGAATAGGACGTAGTCTTCTGAGTAATATTTTTTCGTAAAGTTTTCTTAATACTGGTAATAAACTTATTGGTCTGTAAGATGTAAAGAGATGTTTTGGTTTGTTTGGCTATTAAATAATAGTTGAGAATAATAGTTAAGCATTTGCTAGCCTATTAAAGTACTGTTTTTGGCTTGGTAATCTAGTATTGTACCATTTAGCTCTGTCTCGCCTTTTTTCAATAATTAATTGTTGAATAGTTAGAGGTAATTTTTCCATAGAATTAGTTAATTGAAAGTTAGAGTGTTTTGATGAACTAGTAACTGCTTTCTGAATAATTTGTGTGATCGAGTGGGCTACTGTATCTATATCTTCTTGAGATTTAAGGAGTATTTTTAAAGTAATTTTGCTGTCTAGATTTTGTTTGGAACTATCCCAATTCACAGGCTGAATGTTAGAAGAAATAAGTATTGCCGTACCAGCATGTGCTGTACCGTCTGGATGGTTTTATAAAGTGTATAGCTATTGATTTTAAAATTAGATTTGTGTGTTAAATGTGTTTCTGTAATTAGTGCAAAATCAATTTTTTTTTCGAAAAGAAAATTCTGTAATTCGTTTTTATGTTGATTTACTCTATTTGCATTCCAAAGAAGTATAGTTAATTTAGGTATGTTATTGTTAGAGTTAGTCATTTTTTAATAGTATTTTGTTTATAACAGTGGTGAGAAGAGTAATTAGTGGGTTAATTAATGACTTAAGATCATTAATAAATGTTGATAGTTGGTTTGTAAGGTTTTTTGAGTCTTGAGTGTTGTCGTTAGTCAGTACTTGGGCGTACGTTTTTTGTGTTTGATACTGTGCGTTTGAAAACGTTTGTTGTGAAGTGTGACCTAAAAGCTCATTTACAATATTTGAATTAGGAGTTTGTGTTTTCGGTTCTTGAATATTTTTGTAACTATTTGATTTCTGTTTTTTCGTGAGATCCTTGTAGACTGTACAACCTCGATAACTCGAAGGATGTTGTCCTTGACATAATGCACATTTGGGTGGTTGATCAGGTGTTTTGTACAATTTTGTGTCAAATGTGTTTCTCCACATTTAACACAACGTGGTTGATGGTTGCAGAATTTTTTTGTGTGATAAAAATCTTGACATCTTACACATTGTATTAAGTGACAGCGAGGATGAGGTTCCTCTATTTTTATTTTAATTTTACAAATCGAATTTAATTTAAAAATTTCGTTATTAGGTTGGTTTGCTTCTAAATCGACAAAAAAAAGAGGTAGTGGTATTTTGGTTCTACTTTGTAATACATTTACTACTTGTAACGCGTTATAACCATGAATTGCCAATTCTTGTCTTATATAATCTACTGGAGTGGTATGGTGCAAATTACGAAAAACGACTCTATAAGGTTTATCTTGTTGTATTTGATATGTGTGAAAGTCCACATTTTTTTCTTTAAACAAGCGTACAATTTTTCTATAATCATCCGGTGTATTGGTTTGCAGCCTTAATCCTTTAATGGTACTTTTACAACTAAATGCATTTGAGCCTATAGTTTTTTGTATAGCTTCACAAAAGCCTTTGTAATCGAGATCTGATTTTATAAAAAGAGGTGGAGGAGTTGATATTTTTGGTTCTTGTGAATCAATTATTTGCTCAGTTTCTATGTCATTGTGATCATGGATATCTGAGTTTAAAGTAGAAAAACGACCGAATTGTCGTAAATTATTTGTTGTGTTATTGTTAGGTTTTTTTGCTTTTGGAGATGAGCCGGGTGATGAATTTTTTTTCCTTTTATCTTTACTATTTGAGATTATAGTTGACCAGTCGGTTTCATTTTCATTATCAGAAAAAGTAAATGTGTTATTTATCGATTTAGAAGTTTGTGAAATTGAATTTCTGTTTTTTATAGTGATCGGCGTTATCGGTTTAGGCTTATCTGATTTATGAGCCAGCGGAGTGGTTGGTGAGGTAATATTGTTACGCATTGTGTATGTTATATATTAATTAAAATGTAAGAAAATTCTTACCTAGAGGCCCCCAGCCCCAAAACTGGTGGTTGATTTTACGATGAGTTTATAGCCCAATCTTTTATCTTTTATTTGATACTAAATTTAAACTAATATATTAATATATGGTTTATTAATAAGAAAAAATTTACATAAGCGTGATAGGGCGTCAGCGCCTAACTGTTGTTACGTTAGAACTCTTCCTCAAAATTAATGATAAAAATAACTTATTCTTCATATAATTTATTATAGTAATAAGACTTAAATATAAAAAATGTATTTAATATTTATCTTAACCTTGTCATAAAAATTGTGAATTTTAATTTTAACTTTTTCATAGTATCGATATGAAAAATATTTAAAAAAATTAAGAATATTCATTTTTAACGTCATCAATTAGCATTATACATTTAAGTAATTATTAATTTAGTAGTACATAATATGTCTAGCCTGTAACATTTTAAATGTTAAATGTAAATTTAAAAAATTAATTTATAAAATTATAAATAAGCTTATTTTAGCTAAAACGAAATGAATAATGTGAAATTTTAAATCTATTTGTAAAGGTTATTTATTTTATTTATATATTTGACTTTGACTTAGTTTAAACATTAATTTATTTTAACACGTAATACACATATGGTAATATAGAGCATAAATACACAAAATGGCAAATGATGTAGCCAATACAGTTAGTAGTTATGGACTTTAGCCCATGTATTTAAATTTAATAACCCATAATGTCATATATAAAGTTTACAAATATTTATATCTTTATTCATTTATATATTTATGTAGTTTAGAGTAAAGGCTTAACAAGGTATTAGAGTCGTTTAAATAATAATGAATCATAACACCTATGTTTAGTTTAAACTATTGAATTGGTTCATTTTAATTTATCACAAAGATAATACTATCAAAATAATATAAAAAATTTAATGAACCGCGACGGATATAAGCATACGGGTGATTCAGATACGAAAAATGGACACTATTCGGCGACCCGTACGGTGGGTGTAAGTCACAGGTGAACTGGTTTACATAGTCGTCTACGTGTCTCGATGTTTTGATTCTTCTGACATGTCCTATCCACCGACTGCCGGACAACACGAACATAGTGTTATCGTCAACACTAACGAGTTCGATGGTGGGCAACTAAAAATCACGACAAATATTGTCCTAATTCACAATAAATGAATAGTGCGCTATTATAGGCACAAGGTATGGAACAAACAGTCGAACAGTACACTAATAAGGAATCGAAGCAACGAATTCGCACACGAACTATTGAGAAACAGATATTGCTTGTTAGTACGTTGGAAAGCAACACAACGCAATATCAACGATTAACAGTCGACAGTGTCATGAGTAAGTAGCTTTTACACGCTAACCACTTATTGTTATATTAATATCTAGACGTCTAATACAATCCACCTGTCTGCGGTACTGTGTTAATTTTCATGAACTATGCATTTAACTTTAATCCGGTTACAATATCAATTTACTACCTTAACTGATATATTTGACCTTGACCTAATAAGAATATCAATTTAATTTTGAGACATTTATACAAAAGTTCAATAAGTAAAGAAACAGGTAAATTTTTACAAAAAATGAGAACAATAGAAACCTGTTTCCTTACTTACTGGACACTCTATACATGGCCTTGATATCTAGAATATTTTAGTGCATTTAAACATGTAGGAAAAATAAAAATATTAACTAGATGTTTATTCGTTTTTGGCACAAAGTTTAATTGTGTGATTGTTCATACAATTTATATTATGCTTTATAATATAATAATGTAATATGATTTAATGTTATTAATTTATAAACATAAATTAAAATATTGATATTTACATACTAATGCACTCAAAATAATTTCTATAGTAACAACAATTTTTTTGTGTAACTTTTTTTCTTTATTATTGAAAAATAATAATTATTTTGTGGCGAACTTTTTATTAAATATCTGAAATGACCTAAATAATATGGTAAAATAATACTATGGACAAATTATATTCCAATGAATTAAGTGTAATTATACGAATTCATCATGGTATTGGATTTGATTTAATTGAAGGAAGTACTGTAGTAGAAGCAACTTTTGATGGCGATCATCATCATGGAGCACATATTTTATCTGCGCTGAGACATCGGGTAAATTTTAACGAACGATTTGTGTGGTTAACAGACAGAACTACAGTTAAGAATCTTCGTACTGATAATGGTGTAGTAGTGGTAGAATGTTTTCGTATACCTACAGTACCGGTTGGTTTTAATATCATTAATAACGAGATGTATGAAAGACAAAGAGTAGGTCAAGCTATTATCAAACTTAAAGAATTTCAGATAATTGGCCGTAATTGGGATCAATATATTGCAATCCGAAATCACAAGTTACACTGTGGAATCGGTAATGGATTTGTAAGTTTGTGGATGTCACTTATTATAAAAGACTCTTATATCAATACAAATAATGAACTAACTGTTACAAAATCACCAACTCATCATCGAAAAAAAAATAAAACTAGCACATCTGATCGTCGTAAACATGACTATTATATAGATGTACAAGACGCAGTTAAAAGACCCCATATAACTATAAATCCAAACGAAATATTTGATATGAAAATTAATGACAATGATAAGATTCAGCCTCGTTCACATAACAATATATCTTCCAATAACAATATTGAAGATAAGGAGACAATTAATGATGAACTTTTAAAAACGATGGATAATTTAAAAAATAACACGAGTGATATTCGGCAGCAAACGGAACATCAATATCAGCATTTAAATGAGTCTGCAGTTAAATGTATGGATACTACTTTAAGGAACGACTATGAAATGAGCGGTCGTAAATGTGGAATAAATCAAATGGAATATTTAAATAAACACTCTACCATTAATGTTACATCGAGTGAAGATTGTTCATCCACTAGTATAGCTGATCACACAATAAAAAATCTAAAGAGATTTAGTAAAAAGAGAAGTGAGCAAGATGACGCAAAAGATAATGATGTACAGGCAAAAGCCTACAATCTTGCTTGTAGTTTAACTGAATATGACATAAAAAAAATTGTGAGGCAAACAAAAGAGATTCGGAAAAGTTTAAAAGAATTTGCAGAAGTCATTTGTCAAATTCATAAAACTCGTAAATGAATTTAAAAAAAACGTATTATAATACGTAAAACATATGTTCTAATATCATGAAAATTGGAGTAATTATTTGAAACCCAAGTATTTTATTCAAAAATACAAAAGAAATATTTATGAAGAAGTTAATTATAACCCTAAAGTGATACTTAAGATGCTTTCGATCAATAGAAAAATATTAAACAATTAATTGAAAGTACCAACCTAAATTACTTAATAATATGATGATCTATCACCTTAGTGAATTGAAAATGTAAACATTTATATATTTTTTATTATTTTTGAAGATTTGTCATTGATTTGATTTTTTTGAAAAAAGATTCTAATAAAGTAGTTTCTAAGATAAAACATGAATATTTGAATAATTTTGTATTTTATGATACCTGATAAATAATAACTAAAACGAACAACAATTTTAGCTTCGGTGAGAAGCAGGGAAAATATTAATTTTACTATGCTAAATTTTTTTTTTTTATGTCTGTCACCAATTTTTCTCGGCACTCACCGAACCGATAAATTTTAACGATACGTCAAAAGATCATAAATCGTTTCTAATCGAAGATACTACCTTCAAAAATTGAAAATTTTCCCTCGTCCTCTGTAAATGAGGTAATCCTCCAGTTAAAATTTACAATTTTTAATATCGGTAATTTTCGAAATATTTTTCATTTTTTTTTTTTTCTTAAAACTACTATAGCTTTATGAAAAATAGATGAATAAAAACAATTTTTTTTTAATAGATATATTACGTATTTTTCTATTATTTGGTAAATATATGTTTTTAAATCTGACCCATCACACATCCTCAGGGGGGACTCAAAAGTTTTCATAAAAAATTAAATTTTCGAACTTAACTTTAAAAATGTTTTGAAAATACTGACACTTTTATATATATCTTAAATTAAAGCGTATGTAATATACTTCAATGTGAAATAAAAAAATTTCAAAATATAGATTTTCTTCTTGGTAAAAATGGCTACCGTATTCAAAAATAAGCAATTTTTGTGTTATAATTTTTTTGGGACTGTTATTTATTTTCTGAGCTCTCACTTGACCTAATTGTATCTATTAGAAGATATTTCCTCAAAAATTTGAAAAAAATTCTAATTTATCTATTAAACAGTTATTTAGCTCATGTTCTCCATACAGACAATAAAAGTCATTCATTTCTAATATTTTAAAATTATTGACTGTCAAATTACGTTTGATATGATAAAAAGTGTCTACAAAATTAAATAATTTTAATTCGTAGTTTATTAATTTTAGCTTCGATGCGAAGCTGAGAAGGTATTGGTTTTACTAAGATGTGCTTTTTTTTTTTTTTGTGTCTGTTACCACTTTTTCTCAGCTCTCACCGAACCCATTTCTTTTAATGATACGTCAAAAGATCACAAATCGTATCTAGTCGAAGACATTACCCTTAAAAATTGAAAAAAATTCCCTCGTTCCCCGTAAATGGGGGAAACCTCCAAAAAAATTACAAATTTAAAAATCGCTAATTTTCGAAATTTTTTCAATTTTTTTTACTTAAAAGTACCATAACTTTTTCAAAAATGAACATATCAATATAATTCTTTTTTATGTAGATGCATAATATCATTACCTTATTTTGGTATATTTTTTTCATAAATTTAACCTTTAACCTGCCCACAAGGGGGGATTTAAAATGACAACTTTTTCACAAAAAATTAATTTTTTTAACTTAAATTTTGAAAATGTTCCGGAAGGTCTGACACTTTTATATATATCTTAAATTAAAGCTAATGTAATATGCTTTATCATGAAAAAAAAAAATTTCGGACTTTATCTTATCTTCATGGTGAAAATGGCTACCGAATGCTATTTTTGTGTGAAAATTTTCGATTTTGTATTTTCCATTTTTAACTTTATTATGCTATAACTTTTTGAAAAATGTATGAATCATTACAATTTTTTTATGAGAAGTAGTATTTATATAGATCTTTCATTCGACATACTGTTTTTTTAAATCGGACCATTTCCCTAAATACAGGGGGGATTCAAAACATAAAAATGCATATAGAAAGTAGAACTTTTTCAACTTAACTTTTGAAAATGTTCCGGAAGGTCTGACACTTTTATATATATCTTAAATTAAAGCTAATGTAATATGCTTTATCATGAAAAAAAAAAATTTCGGACTTTATCTTATCTTCATGGTGAAAATGGCTACCGAATGCTATTTTTGTGTGAAAATTTTCGATTTTGTATTTTCCATTTTTAACTTTATTATGCTATAACTTTTTGAAAAATGTATGAATCATTACAATTTTTTTATGAGAAGTAGTATTTATATAGATCTTTCATTCGACATACTGTTTTTTTAAATCGGACCATTTCCCTAAATACAGGGGGGATTCAAAACATAAAAATGCATATAGAAAGTAGAACTTTTTCAACTTAAATTTTGAAAGTGTTCCGGAAGGTCTGACACTTTTATATATATCTTAAATTAAAGCTAATGTAATTTACTTTATTATGCAAAAAAAAAAATTCGGACTTTATTTTGTCTTCATGGTAAAAACAGACATTGAATGCTATTTTTGTGTGAAAATTTTCGATTTTGTATTTTCCATTTTTAACTTTATTATGCTATAACTTTTTGAAAAATGTATGAATCATTACAATTTTTTTATGAGAAGTAGTATTTATATAGATCTTTCATTCGACATACTGTTTTTTTAAATCGGACCATTTCCCTAAATACAGGGGGGATTCAAAACATAAAAATGCATATAGAAAGTAGAACTTTTTCAACGTAACTTTTGAAAGTGTTCCGGAAGGTCTGACACTTTTATATATATCTTAAATTAAAGCTAATGTAATATACTTTATAATGGTAAAAAAAAATTTCGGACTTTATTTTATCTTCATGGTGAAAACAGACATTAAACTTAATAAAAAAAATACGATTTTTGTAAAAAAATTCTTTTTTATATTTTTAACTTTATAATGCTATAACTTTTTAAAAGATGTATGGATCAATATAATTCTTTTTTATGTAGATGCATGATGTCTTTACCTATCATTTGGTATATTTTTTTTATATCTGACCCTTTACCTGCCCACAGGGGGGGATTTAAAATGACAACTTTTTCACAAAAAATTGACTTTTTCAATTTAAATTTTGAAAGTGTTCCGGAAAGTCTGACACTTTTATATATCTTAAATTAAAGCTAATGTCATTTACTTTATTATGCGAAAAAAAAATTTCGGATTTTATTTTATCTTCACGGTGAAAATGGCTACCAAATGCTATTATTGTATGAAAATTCTCGATTTTATTTTTTACATTTTTAACTTTATAATGCTATGACATATTGAAAAGTGTATGGATCAACATTATTCTTTTATGAGAAATAATATTTTTAATAATCCCTATTTCATTCAACATACTTTATCTTAATTAAGATATTAATAATGAACTAGCAGATCATGTAGCTTTTGGAATAATCCACCAATTTTTTTATATTAAACACTATCTAAAGATTTGCATCGAAGCGTTTTTTTTTTGATAGTGATTTTAATCACTGTCAGATATCATTATACTTGATCCAACTATGCCACGTCACCACTGTGCCACGACCCCCCTGTGCTGGGTTTTTTAACTCTATTTATGTGTGTTACTACAAGTCAATTAACGATGAATTTTTACTATTATAATCAAATTTTATAATACGTTCAATTGAGTAGATCATTTTAACAACTTTTATATTGGTTTTTTTTAGTTAATGTAAATCATTAAAATTAAAAAATAAAAGTTCAATTTTAGAATCTTTTAAATAAAAATATAAAAGTTACTTAGAAATGATTACTATGATTTCTATTTAAGTGATGTATTATGATATATATATACAAAAAATGTCGAGCTACTCTGATAAATTTACTATAAATAGTATTAATAGTAATTATAAAATTTCTTGGCTGAATATTAATCTTAACAATATAATTTTTTTAATTCTCATAAAATTTTCTATTTAGTGATGTAAATTTCAAACATGAAAGTTAGGTAAAAATCATGGTAATAACTTTTAGCTTTTTGCCTATGTTAATACTAGCTTTTAACTAATTAATAATAATATCAATAATTAGAGGCAACAGAAAAAATCTAATTGCAGATTTGAAATTAGCGCGAAAAATGGGGTTAGATAAATATATTTTTGACTACGTTAAATAGCTACAATAGATATTTATTAATATATTACACTTATAAATCATAAAACTGCAAATTAGGAATAATGAAGGAAATAGGAATTTAATTTGCTTTTGGAATAATCTAACAATTTCTTAAAATTTAACACTATCTACAGAGTTGCATTAAATTGTTTCTTATGATAGTTATTTTAATCGCTGTCAGATATCATTTATACTTGTCCCAACTATGCCATGTCCACACTGTGTCACCGTTATTGTTAAAATTTTTGGGATGTGAGAAGTCGAATTTCAAAAAAAAATTCTTATTTTATACACGGATACCCCTATCTCTACTTTAATAATACTCATGTAAATATGTTTAGGTCTAAAATAATAATGGATATTTGATATTTTATTAAAATGAGCATTTTAAGTACTCATTTTATATATCAAATAAAACATTTAGTTATTGAATTATTATTTATTCCTCATTGTTAAGCAATACTGATATTACTATGACACCGAAAATGTATGATTGATTATTTTTTAGATTAACTTATAAAATTATTATAAAGATAAAAAATTTGACAACATTATAAATTAATTATGTAATTAATAATTGAAAATAGTCACTATGGTTAATGCCGATGAAGAAATAAGTATTATTCATCATTTAAAATTGTTTTTAGAAATCAATAGTCTGTATTTATATTACTTTATTTAAAATTATTTTTAGAAAGCACAGAATACTTTAATACTACTGGTAACACAGAATTAATACCTAGGCTTCCTTTTATGGGTATATGGGTACATTCTTCAAGTCCTTTAAATATTGATGTTAATGATCTGATTACAATAAACTTACCACCGTTAGAGTGGATAAATAGTAATGTTAAACCATTTAGCACTATCGTTCAGAACACTGGGTACACAGGTAATGTAAATATCATACTAAAGAATACGAAATAGATTTCGTATTCTTTAGATAAAAACTTGTATATGGCTTAAGCATTTAGTCAAAGATAATATTCATTATTTTTATTATACTAAATTTTTTTCAAAACTATTAGACTAAAAACCAATATATTTAACATAAAAACACAAATTAGTGTATTATAATTATAATTGTACAAATATATTATATTTTTTATAGTAAATGTAGATGTTGAGTACTTAGGCTCTAGACCTTCATTAAGTGGATCTGCATTGCGTTGTCCATATGAGTTATGGTGTTATCATTTCCACTGGGGCACACAAAATGACAATGGTAGTGAACATAGAATAATGCAACAAGGGTAAATTAATTTTAACTCTTTTGGACATAAATGGTATGTCTTGTGAATATAAATTGTGTACTATATAGATTTCCAATGGAAATACATCTTCTTTTTTATAATATATGCTACAAAAGTACAGAAGAAGCTATGAAAGCCAAAGATGGTTTACTGGTGCTTGTTTATATGTGCATGGTATAAATTTTATAATTAGGAAACTTTGCTTTATTAAAACTCTTGTATGTTTAGCTAGTTAGCGATGACAATAAAACTTTAAACATTATAACAAATAAAATTAAAAAAATTAATCAACCTGGTCAATCAGTTGAAATTAATTCATTTCCTTTAAGCGATTTATTTGATAATAATTTCCAAAAATACTTAATGTACTGGGGATCTAAAGAAAATGATCCGTCTAATCCAGCTTTGTGGTTAATTTCTTCAAAACCAGTGCATATCAGTGAAAAACAAGTTCGTAAAGTATTAAAACTCTTAAAAAATTAACACAAATACACTAACATTTTTATTATATTATAGAATTATTAAGAATAATAATTTAAAAAATTTAAGTGTTTTATAACTTAAGTTTTTAATTTCTCCAAAATCGAGTTGACGTTGGTAATTTTTATGTTTAATATTATTAGTGTAATTAAACCAATATATTGTCTATTTGATGAATTATACTATACATAAAGTCAAGCCGACTCTATTAACTAACAAAACTAACCGTATATAAGCGTTTTATTTAGACTAAAAATTAAGATCTCTTGGCACGCCTCAGTATGAAAGGCACTAGTGGCAATTGTGCCTAACCCAAGGGTGGCCTAGAAAAGGAAATAATATGGTTTGATAGAAATATAAATAAATAACAGAATCTATGACAGTACTTTTTTATATTTAAAAACAATCATTTTTTTATAGTTATTATATTTCCGAGTTTTGAAGGATCCGGTGACAAGAAAACTGATATCTAATTGTCGTATGCCACAACCCGTGAAACGTTACAAGGTATTCAATGTAAATCAAACAATGTGCACAGTAAAAAGTTTGTTTAAAAATGTAAAAGAAGGTTCATTGAATCTGGAATATGAAAAAGTTTTCAATCAGTCAGTAAATTCAATACTTCAAGAACAAAATGATCGCCAAAATAATATTGGTTGTTCTATAAAAACTTGTGATGCAAAAAAAACTGTTGAAATTTACTCAACCCGAATTGAACCAGTTGTAACTATAACTCAATTTAATACACAGAAAGATTCATTAGGTACTACAGAACACTCAATTATCCAACTAGAAACAAAAACTAATAAAGTAAAGAATGAAATTATTGAAACTAATGATGCAATTATTCAAATAGAACAAGAGGATAATTGTGAGCATGCAGTGAAAGATTCTACAATAAAGCAAGTGAAATTACTAAAAATAATTTTAACGTTAAGCTTGAAACTATCAATACATTTATCAACCGTTATCTCTAAAATCAAAATATATATTGTGATTAATTTATATGAACAATCTAATTGATTGAAAAACAAAAATAATATTAATAACTTCTTTATTTGTTTCTTTTAGGTCATACCTAATACCTTATACCTTATAAGGGTGTCAACTTTAATTTCTCAAATGGCAACACCCCTAATAAACAAAGTTATTTAATAGAAAATTATCTAATTAAGAAAATGTCTGGTCGATAACAACTTTTGGACTTGTACTTTTGTTGTTATACTCATTTTTATACCTAGGTGATACGAAGAATACGGCATTGGAAAGACTAGTGATAAAAACAGCAACATCCACTTCATACCATTACTTTAAATTGTTAATAGCTCCTGAAATATTAGTCCAAAAGTTGTTGTCGACTAGAAACTTTCTTAATTAGATTATTTCCTATTTTATAAGATAGTTAAATATGTATCTTGTCATTGAAAACAATTAATTGTTTTTCTCATTTTATCAATTATGAAATATTCTTCCTTTATAAGCATGTTTTTTAATTTTAATATACATATTTAGCTAGCTTATGTATTAAATAATGATCTAAGAAAATTACGGATCGATGATAACTCTTGAACCAGTATTTCAGAAGTTAGGTGCCGGTTCTGTAAATTATATCACTAGATATTTCTAGATCTCACTCCTCCATCCAAGATATTAAAAAGGTTAATAATTTCTGAAATAGTGAACCAACATTTATTATCACTTAGCCATTTTTTTAATTAGATAATTAACTATTAAATAATCTCGTTAACTCTGTGTGTTACTAAGGTATAAGAGATAAAAGAACAAAATACTTTATGATTGTTAAATTGAGTAACACATTAACTAAAATTAAATTAGCAATATTACTTTTATTTTTCGATTAATTAAGTATTTCATCATAAAAAATCACTCGGTATAAACGAATAATATTCATATAATCCTCATACCTTTAATTTTAAATAATAAATCCTTTATAATAATTTTATCTCATCATTTTCTTCACAGTTAATTTCCACCAAAAAATATACTTAACCAGAAAAAATACAATTTAATATTTTAAGTGAAATTTAATTAATGAAAATATTAAACTTTTGTAGAACATTTAATAACTTGATGACAGATTTAAATGTTGTTACTAATGCAGTTCCACACTTAGATGAACCCACTAAACATATAAGAAAAAACATTATTAGCTCTGAAGTAGAATGTCGTCGTAATATAGAAGAAAAAAAAGCTAAACGAATTATTACAACAGCTGATCTAAATTATCCTACACAAGAAGAATTTAATAGTAGGGTTGTTAAGTACTTACCTACTAATACAAGAAGAGAAGGTATAAGGATGAATGAAGCTGCTTTAAAAAGAGAACTTTTTAACAAAAATAAACTGAAATTATTAAAGAGAGATAATAACTAAATTTGAATGTGTTAATTATTTAATAAAAATATTAATATAATTAATAAACATATAATTAATTGAAATAAGTGAGTTATTACCACTTTTAAGTCTAAACAATTAAATTTTAATTTCATAGTTTTTATTCTTCTCCAGTTTAAATTACAATTTATTTTTAAAAAAATATAAAGATTTATTTTTATAGAATTTTATTGTAGTTCTATCATGGTATATTATTTTATTTACTATGATAATAAATATTTTTTAAGTCAAAAAATTACGGATTTAGAAAATAAATTGAAGGGTTTTTAAATGGTTATTTCACTGTATTTGATGGCAAAACTATATAGTCTCAAATTTTTAAATGCGGAAAATTATGCAATAATTAATGAAATTTGAAATTCACGTATTCTATAAGTAAAACACACAAAGAATTAAGTTTTAGTATAATATTATAATCAAAAGTTACAATTTTCAAACAAATTTTACCTTTTAGTTTTTTTTTTTATATTTAAAATTCATCATGGTAACAAAAGTAATCATGCTTATTATACATTTTATTTAAAAATAATTTTTTATAAAGTCACTTGTTAATCTATTTTTTATCGCAGAAATGAATTATATTGGTAATTTTAGATGGAAGCAGGCCGTAGAAAAATTAATTGATATTCAAAAAGAAGATCAAATATTTGTGGTTGGAGGTCTTTATACTGATAAAACGGAAGCTAGAGACATTATCTCTGGATTATATGTCAGGTATAAAATGTTTTAATAGTTATAAGTTGTTTTTAAACTATGATATAATTTTTTAAATAAAGATAATACTTTTCCCAAAAATTAGTTTTACTTTACTACGTATTCAAGTAAAAATAACTAATAATCAATGATTTTGTGCTTATTGAATTTTCGATGTAGGTCTAATTATTGTTTATAAAATTAGCTTAAAGCATAAATTAGTTTGATAATAATGATGATTATTTTTTTTAAAACAAAAATCATTTCACGCCATTTAGAATATTGTAATTTTTTCTTATTTTATGTAAAAAAAATATTTCACACAAATGTGATGAAAATATAATAATTTAATTAATTGCAAAATTAAATTAAAGTTGACTTATACCAACTAAATTTCTAGCTGTAAGAAAAGAATACAGTATAGCTTAATCTACTAGAAAGCCATTAGCCTCATTTACGCACGTTACCATCTTGAATAACAATATTTTCTGTCCCACATAACTATCGATGCTATTAGTTACACTAGTTTACAACAAAATTGACCTATGACTTATGATAGTCATTTTTTATGTAAAATCGTCCACTGAGTCCGAAAATGAAGTCCAAAATACAAAAAGTAGAACAGTTTTTGAGTTATTGCGAAATTAGCGTTTTTCGTGTACCGCGAAAAAACGTTTTCATTATATTCTAAATATCTTTAATTGCATTCAACCGATTTTCATTTTTTTTACATAAAATTAAACAATATTAATTTACCTATAACTTTTATCTGAATCAATTTTTTATCTGACTCTTTTCTCGTTTGCTATCTACGAATTTACCACTGAATTTTTATCATTTCTTTCAAATTGTCAGAAAAAATTCAAAGTTTTACGTAAAATACACCAATAAAAAATAAATTTATCAACAATAATTTCAATAGACGTCATACTCTAATACATAACAAAGAAAATGATATATTATTTTGTAAAATTGATAAAAAAATGAATAAGTTATGCGCGATTGAAAAATAAAACAAATTTCCTTAAATGCAAACATCATGTCAAAACCAGTTCCACATTCACTCTCAGTTAAATATCCTGTTTTTCCAAAAGGAAAAAAGAATATAGTGAATCGCCCGAACCAAGTAATCATGCCGAGTGTAAGACTGACATTAGTTTTCAACATGAAAAAATTCCGAAGCTTTTTACCCAAACTGAACTTAATGATTTAATAAGACATTTGAAACTCTCAAAGGAAAAATCAGAGTTATTGGCGTCAAGATTGCAAGAATAAAATTGATTAAAATCACAAGTAAAAGTTACATTTTACAGAAGTCGTCAGAAATATTATGCTCAATATTATATAAAAAAAAAAACAATGTTTGTTATTGTAACGACATTTACGGTTTGTTTAAAGAATTTGGTGAGCCATATGATCCAACCGAATGGCGTTTGTTTTTTGATATCAATAAACTAAGTCTGAAAGCAGTTTTACTGCATAAGGAAACATCAAACTTTCAATTCCATTAGCGCATGCTGTAAATATGAAAGAATCGTATGAATCAATGGCTATCTCTAATTACTTTCTCTAATCAACTACAATCAACACAATTGGAAAATTTGGGCAAACCTTAAAGTCATTGCAATGGTAACTGGCTTGCAACAAGGATACACAAAATACATGTGTTTTTTGTGTACATGGGATAGTCGAGCACGTCAAGAACATTAAACACGAAAATATTGGCCAGATCGAGTAAACTTAACAGTGGGCAAAGAAAATGTCAAATTCAATCCTCTTGTTAATATAAATAGAATAATCCTGCCACCTTTACATATTATACTTGGACTTTTTAAAAATTTTGTTAAAGCTTTAAATAAAAATGGAAATTCCTTTACTTATTTGAAAACTGTGTTTCCACATTTGTCCGATGCGTTTACAACCAAACTCGTTTCGTTTGGTTGTATATTCTTTTTTAGGAAACTTCAAAATTTTAAATTATAGAGAAATAGTAGACGATTTATTGATAAACTATTCAAAAATAGGTAAACAGTACATTTTATAATTTTATTATTTTTTGAATAAAAGAAACATGTATATTTTTAATTTTATCGGAAATAGGGGTGAACATGTCATTGAAAATACATTTTCTTCATGCACACTTAGATTTTTTCCTGAAAATCAGGAAATGAAAGCGATGAGCATGGTGAACGTTTTTATCAACAAATAAATGATATAGAATGTCGTTACTATGGGTTTTGGGATGAAATAATGATGGGTGACTATTATTGGTTTCTTATAAGAGAAAACAATGAAACATATAAAAGAAATATTAAGACTAATGCGTCCTATTTTTAATTAAATAAAAATTATTCTTTGGTTATCATAAAACTAATTACAAAAAATATAGTGAAAATTATAATTGTTTTCTTTTTTGTAAAACTTAATTATTTATTTTATCGATTATATGTTAAATTTACTATATTTAAAATAATTTTTTAAATCCATGCAAAAACAATTTCAATTTTATTAATTCTATAGAAAATTACTTAATATTTTTAGAGAATTATCATTTTTTTTTAAATGCGAAAATTTATCACAACCCCACCAAACTGTAAAATTAACTCAATTTAAAAATGTCCCAATAAAACTATATGAAATAACCTTAAGTTATTTAAAAAATCGAAATTTTGTTTTGAAAAGTAGTATTGTGAGTAATTTTCCTATATTTTATAAAAAAAATTATAGCATCGAATTAGAAAACTCTGATTTTAGGAAATTTGTTTTATTTTTCAATCGCGCATAACTTATTCATTTTTTTATCAATTTTACAAAATAATATATCATTTTCTTTGTTATGTATTAGAGTATGACGTCTATTGAAATTATTGTTGATAAATTTATTTTTTATTGGTGTATTTTACGTAAAACTTTGAATTTTTTCTGACAATTTGAAAGAAATGATAAAAATTCAGTGGTAAATTCGTAGATAGCAAACGAGAAAAGAGTCAGATAAAAAATTGATTCAGATAAAAGTTATAGGTAAATTAATATTGTTTAATTTTATGTAAAAAAAATGAAAATCGGTTGAATGCAATTAAAGATATTTAGAATATAATGAAAACGTTTTTTCGCGGTACACGAAAAACGCTAATTTCGCAATAACTCAAAAACTGTTCTACTTTTTGTATTTTGGACTTCATTTTCGGACTCAGTGGACGATTTTACATAAAAAATGACTATCATAAGTCATAGGTCAGAAAAATTTTTTTTATTTGTAAACTAGTGTTATTAATATGTTTTAATCAAATGTTTGGAAATTTCTCTGTATTTAAGTATTTATTATTTATTTTAAATTATTGTTGTTCTTTATAAATTTTTATACATTATTAATAACTTTTTAAATAAAATTATTTTGTTGTCATAACTTACAAACTTTTATAAATAATAATTACTAATTTTGAATAACTCCATATAAGATATTGCTTCAGTTGTTCCTTTTAGTTTCGATGCAAAGCTGAGAAGGTATTGGTTTTACTATGATGTGTTTTTTTTTTTTTTTTTTATGTCTGTTACCACTTTTTCTCAGCTCTCACCGAACTGATTTCTTTTAACGATACATCAAAAGATCACAAATTGTATCTAGTTGAAAATATTATGCTCTAAAATTGAAAAAATTTCCTTCGTTCCACGCAAATGGGGGAAATCTCCAAAAAAACTACAATTTAAAAAATCGGTAATTTTCAACATTTTTTTTTTTTCTAAAAATTTCCATAGATTTTTGAAAAATTAACAAACCATAATAATTTATTTTTATTTTGAAACCATAGATATTTCTCTTTCATTTTATATAAATTTTATGATAATCTGACTCTTTACCTGCCCATAGTGGGGATTTAAATAGCAACTTTTTTACAAAACTCAACTTTTTCAACTTAAGGTTTAAACATGTTCCGGAAATACAGGGTTCTTTAAACATATGTCAAATTAAAACTTATTTTATGTACTATAAATTTAAATATATATATATATATCCCGACAACTTATCTTCTACGTGAAAATGGCTGCCGTAGTTAAAAAAATGCTATTTTTGTGTTAAAATTTATGATTTCATATTTTATTTTTTCAGCTTTAAATTACCTTAATTATTTGAAAAATGTATGGATCAATACAATTATTTTTTCATAAATATTTTGTATTTACTTCTTTCATTTGATATACCTTTTTTTTAAATCTGTCTTTTGACCTGACTACAGGGGGGATTTAAAATAACATTTTACAACATGCAAGTTAAACATTTTCAACTCAATTTTTGAAAATTTTCCAAAAATTTTGAGACTTTTATTTAATCTTAAAGTAAAGCTTATGTAATATACTATACTATGAAATAAAAATTTCAAGATATAGTGTACATGGTTATCATATTCAAAAATGTGCTATTTTCGTGTTAAAATTCTGGGTATTGTATTTTAATTTATTTTAATATACCTTATAATGGAGTACACTGATTTTCAAGAATATTATATAATATTGATTTAACAATATCATATATTTCATTTTTTTTCTTTTGAGTCGAAAAAATTAATTTTAACATTTGAATTAGCTTAAATTGCCAATTTTATCAAAAAACGAATGCGACAAACGTTTACCTATTTAGTAATAATCATTGCCTGTGGCCACGGTGGTCCTTGGAGGGGGGGCAAGCAGGGTCCAAGCCTTGGGCCTAGCACTATTCGGGCCTCGCACAAAAATATCAGACTTGGAGAAATATTGATGAGCAAAAAAGAAAAAAAGGTCATTGAGAAAATTTTCCTACTTGCACTAGATGATGTAAACTTCCCGCTACTGCTTGTACTTTAAAAAAAAAATTTGATATTGGCAATTTCATTTAAAATTAATTAGTTCTTGTGATTATATTTTTAAAATTTGTATATCATATGTGTGATACATACATAGAATACAATTGTATGTACGAAAAAACAAATCAATTGACTGATTAATTAGAACAACCTGCTATTTGAACAGAATTAATACGTTTGAAATACAATTTAAAACATTATAAAGGTAAACGTCGAAATATTGTATAAATTTATATAATTTATATGGATTATATAAATCAATTGATTTACTAATTTCCCCATCTCCATTTTTCACTCAACACGGTATATGCACATACATTCCGAGATACGCGATTAGGCAAGGCAAGTTATTTTGATCGACGAATTTCGTAAAAAAAATAGTGATAGTATTAAAACCATTTATTCACCGAAATAAACAAATTGTACCAGTAATTTTTAGTATGTGTTCGTTTTTCGTCGTCGTTGGAGCTTAAATATCGGGTACCAAAATAAAATGAGTGGCCGATTACGTGATAAATATAGAAAATTTAAAAGTGGTGCTGAAAAGCGAAAACTTAAAAATGTTCAAAAAGAGCAGAATAAACTTTTAAAAAACTTTTTATGTAAATTTTTAAAAAAAGATGAAAATGATTGTGTTGCCGAAAGTAGTAGTAAAGTTAACATTGAATATAACGAACACAAATTATTGTTAGGCAATATTACTATTGAGACAAAAGAATTATAATCCAGTAGCAAGACTAAACAGAATGAAATAAATGAAAATCTTCAACAACCATCAAAAGATTTACTACTCCAAGAAGATACAGAGAGCAAAAAGGTACAGGACGATGAAATTGATAATGACGATCCAGGTAAATGGCAAAAGATTTCAGATAAATTACGAGTTTATTTTGCAAAGAACTCACCTACAAAAATTATAAATTATAATTTTCCATCAAACGACGAAGGTAGAAAATTCAGCATAACATATTATAATCGAATAATAGGCAATTGTGAAAAAGTGGTAGGAAATTGGCTTTTATATTCTAAATTTTTAAATCGAGTTTTTTGTCTCTTTTGTCTTTTATTTTCTTCAAACTCAACTTCATCATTGGCGTCAGAAGGATTTTATAATTGGAAACAGATAAGTGAACGTTTAAAAGAGCACGAATTATCTATTTTACATAATACAGCTCAAGAAAAATGGCTACAACTACGTATGAGACTTAATCTCCATACAACTATAGATAATAATATTCAAAGAAACGTAAATATTGAAAAAGAACGTTGGAGGAATATTCTTAAACAAATAATTGCATTTATAAAATTATTAGCTGAGCATAATGACGCTTTTCATGGCACAAGTTCTCAGTTTAATACAGCTAATAATGGTAAATTTTTAGGCTTACTTCAAATGATTGCAAATTTTGATTTAATTGTGGCTGATCATTTAAAACGTGTATATAATAATGACATCCATGATCATTATTTAGGTCCTAGGATACAAAATGAACTTATTAATATTATTGCCACAAAAATACGTGATGAAATAATAAATCGAGTAAGACAAAGTAAATATTTCACAATTTTATTAGATGGAACTCCTGATAAAGGTCACAAGGAACAGCTTACATTTTTATTGCGCGTTATAGAAATTTCGAAAATTTTCAAATATGAAAAAAATGAATATTTTATATGTTTCATTCATACTACAAGTAAGACTGGCTTGAATTTAACAGAGGAAATAAAAGCACAATTGAAACTAATGAACATCTTAGATAATTGTCGTAGCCAAGCGTATGACAACGGGGCGAATATGATATATCATTATCAAGGAGTGCAATCAAGAATCCTTTTTGAAAACCCAAGTGCTTTTTTTATTCCGTGCACTACTCACAGCCTTAATTTACTTCTCAGAGGTATGGCATCATCCGTACCAGCTGCTATGACATTTTTCGGGATAATTCAAAGAATTTATTCTTATTATTAAAGAGCATATCCGTTTTCAATTATGCCAAGTACATGATGCTTTAATAGATATTAGTGAATCAAACTATGAATTTTATTATGACTTTATTTTAAGCGTTGTTATTTGGTACGAACTGTTATCTGCTATAAATAAAGTAAGTCTCCAGAGCAAAAGTATGGAATTTAGTAATGATGTACAGTTGTTAAGTGGTCTTAAAGATTTTTTTTATAATTTTAGAAATGAAGAGTATGAGTCGTCAAAAAAAAATTGCGCAAAATTTATGTGAAGGACTTGATATTCAAACAGTTTTTAGCACAATCTAGAATTAAAAAAAAAGTTTGGCAGTTCAATTATGAAAGCAAAAATGCACGTCTAAATTCAGCTGAACAAACATTTTACGAAGATTATTTTCTATCCGTAATAGATCAAGCAATCGTATCAATTAATGAACGTTTTTAGCAACTATCTCATCATTCAGAATATTTTGGATTTTTATATAATATTGAAAATTTAAAATCATTTGACGATGAAACTTTAAGAAAACATTGTATGGATTTAGAAATTGTATTAAAAGATAGTGAAAATTATGATATAAATGGTATACAACTTTTTGACGAATTAAAAATTTTTTGTAGAACAAACAAATGACTTTTATAGAATGTCTTAATTTAATAGAAACAACATGTGGTTCATTTCCAAACATTTCTATAGCATTGAGAATATTATTGACCCTTCCAATAACCACAGCAAGCACAGAGAGAAGTTTCTCCAAGTTAAAAATCATAAAAAATTATTTAAGGACATCTATGACACAAAATCGTCTTTCTGATCTAGCAATTATTTCAATCGGACGTGATCTGTGTAAAAATTTAGATTATGACGATATTATTGAAAAGTTTGCCGAAATAAAAGCCAGAAAAATTAATTTTATGTATTTTAAATTGTTTTGACGGAGGTCAGTTTAAATAAGACATTGTTTTTTATTCTTTTAATTTTATTAAATTAAAGCAAATTTTTTACTAATATTAAAAAGCGACTGTAGGTACTCATGAATTTTAATACAAAGGAGTCATAAATTATTTTATTTTAAAATTCACAATAAATATTTATTTAATTTTTTTCTTTATAAGTTTTTAAAATTTGTATGAAAATATTTTTGTTGTATTTTTAGTTGTAATAATGAATAAAAATGAAGTGTTGTTATCTATATTTTGTTGGTATAAAATTATTTGGCCCTAGGTACTAGCCTGGTACCCCGGCTTTTGATGAGCAAAAAAAAAAAGGACATTTTTGCCCGCAAATCGTAAGGATGGCCGTGCCTGTGGCAATGATTTTTTTGCAATTTTTCTATAACTATTTTTGAGTTTGAATTTTTCTTTTGAATAGTCCATCAATTTCTTAAAATTCTTATGATAGTGATTTTAATTACTGTCAGATACTTGTCCCAACTATGCCACGCTCCCACTGCACTACCGTTTTTTTTTTTTTTTTATAAGTCAACTTCCAAATTTTTGAAATGGGAACACATATTTTGAATTTAATAAAATGTTTGAGTTTTTAATTCATTAGTAAATGTCATTTGAATATTTAATATAACTTTAATCGTATATTAGGTTTAACATTTTTAAATTTTTGAGTTAATATGCATATATAATATACGAGGGATAGCAAATAAAAGTAGCTAATTGGTTTATTATGAAGTCCATATTCGCAGATACACAGCATTTGTTATCAATGGTACTATAGCACATTGATCAGGAGTGAGCTGGAATATTATTAAATTAATAAAAATTATTTGTACGCTCAAATTTATGTTTATTACATTTTCATATATTTCTCGTAACGCACTGAACAATGTCTCGCGGTATACTGGTTTTAGATAAAATACAATATGCGATAAGCGCCATTTAGTTTAGCGGCCATTCGATATAACATAGGCCGCAACACACATTGTTGTGAGTTTATAAATACACTAACTGGCAATACAGAAAGTACATCTATTAATAGTGATAATTGACAATAAACACTCCGTTACTGTGATAGCAAAGTCATACTTGTTCAGTAAATAAGGAAACAGGTAAATTGTTTTAAACAATGAGAACAATAGAAACCTGCTTCCTTGCTTACTGAACACTCTATATATCGATTAAAAAATTTGAGACTTGAAAGTTTTATGTCTAATATACAAATAAAGTTTCATTAATAATTCAAATTAATTGAAAACTCAAACATTTTATTAAATTTAATACATGTATTCCCATTTAAAAATAGAGTTTCGTTATAAGAAATAAAGGATTAACTTAAAAAGTATTACATAGCTAATAATTCAAGAATAATATGTAACTAGAATAGAAAATGAACGAGTTCTATTTATTTTGTAAGTAATTGTGTAGATTATGATAAAAAAAATCATTCTGTATAACGTTTAATTTTAAAAATGTAAATTGTTTTTGAAAATTAAAATGTTAGATGTGCGATTTTTAATTTAAATAAATTTAATTATATAATATATTTTATCTTCAATTTTATTTTTAAGTAATAATCAATAGGTATACATTGATCTCTAATGAATTGACTGCATACCACGACTCAATAATACAACCACAAATTAGAATTTTGATTAAAAAACTGTTAATTCCTTTATTTGGAAGATTAATGGAATTAAAACAAATTTTAATGGATGGAGATTTATCAATTTATACGTATGTGCTACTTTAAATTATAACTATTAATTAATTAACTGATGTACTTACAAAAACTATTGCTCATAAACTGTACAATATAATAAAAAAATAATTTTTTTATTTATATTAGTCCAGTGATTGAGACATTAAATAAAATGAAAGTGCAGTATAGTTCATTTGAACTCATATTACCAAAGTATTTTCAAAATGACAGAAGATTATTCTTAAATGAAATAAACAGTAAAATTGATAAAATATATAACAAAATGGAACAAGAGAATGAAATCGATATTCTTAGTGAAGTTGATGAGAATGAGAAAACAGAGGAAAGTTCTATAATATATCTAAAACGGGAAGAATCTTCAGTATCGGAATTTGATGTAACAACGTTTAAGTCTATGGAAGAAATGACACCGGCGAGATTTCAAAAGGTTACAGAAGAAGACTTGGAAAGAACTCAAGCTTTGTTGTTTATACAAAAACATATAAGGGCATCACGAGATCGCATTTATGCTAATGAATGTGGGTTATACATATATAAATATATTTTTTTACAGCTGTAGTATATTATAATTTTAGTTAAAATTATATATATATTTTACATTTAAGTGTTATTTCAACAAAGAAGCCGACAAAGAATTTTAAGTGGTCAATACATACCACCTAAAAAAGAACAAGCACATAAATATGCAATCAAAATTCAACGTTTTTGGAGAGGTTTTCGGTTAAAAAGAAAATTGAAAGTTCAAGAACAAAAGAGAAATTTTCTCTTAGGTATTTCACTAATAATATAAAAAGCCATCAACTTTTATTCAAAATTGGCAAAAATAGAATTTTTTTTAAGTTTTATTAAAATTTGTACTAAAACATAATACTAATCCACATTTATCTTTCTGGAGCTTTTGTTATAAGCTATAAAGTATAAAAATTTAAAAAAAATTGTTTAGCAGACATTTTATTAACAAAATAATGTAATTAATTTGGTACAAACTTATGTTATTTATTATAAAAAGCAGTAACAAAGTAGGGTAGTGGCACAGTGTAGACGTGTCATAGTTGGGACAAGTATAGATGATTTCTAACAGTGATTATAATCACTATCATAAGAATTTTAAGAAATTGATGGACTATTCAAAAAACAAAATGAACATTTATTTCCTTATTTATAACCTGATTACAAGTTTTTTTATGTATAAATATAAATATGAATAAATAATTTATTATATTAATTAAATATAGAATGAAATTTATATTTAATAATTTAGTAATGTAATTTTTACAGAGAAATTATAAAAAATTACAAAGTATTTTTTACTTTTATGTTCTATGTGCATTGGGATTAGAAATACCTACCTAATGAGGTTGGGTCAGATCAACAGTCGGTGTATAGTTTTGCCAAAATGTATGTGGAGATATCAATGAAAAAGAATAAAGCAGTATGACCAGACGAAGTGTTAGTAGAAGTATGGAAAATATTAGGTGGTTTTTGGCAAAAGAATGGAGGAATAGAATTATAATGTCGACATTTAATGATAAATAAGATACAGGAGTGTGGAAATTATCGAGACATAAAGCTAATGAGCCACATTTTGAATACTTGAGAAAAGGTAAAAGACCAAAGAATAAGAGAAAAAACTTCAGTAACAAAGCACTAATTTTTTGTCTGGAAAATCCACGATGGAACCATTTTTTTTATAATCATTTAAGATAACTAATAGAAACGTACAGGGAAAAAAAGAAAAAGCTGTACATGGTATTAATAGATTTCGATAAAGCGTATGATAGAACACCTACAGAGGTTTTAAAGTGGATATTTATGAGAAAAGGAGTCCCGGAAAAATTACATTAATGTAATAAGGTTATAAACTTAGATAGTTTGGTCATGATATGAAGAGAATAAAATCAAAAGCTGTAAGAACAATTTTAGAAATGAATGTTGAAGGAAGGATAAGTAGAAGAAGACCAAAAAAGAGATGAAGAGATGTAATTGAATATGAAATGATGATGTGGGAGATCGTGTCAAATGGAAGTTTAGAATAAGGATGACCGACCCCAAGTAATTGGGATAAAAATAAGAAGTTATTATTTTTATAGTAAACATGTATAAATGGCTTTAATTTGAATTTGAATGGCTTGATGCAATACTTTTCAAAAAAACGTTGCTTATTAATTATAAATAAATTTACTGGTCTACAAAAAATTTTCATCAAAGACCACAAATTTATTTTTCAAAGTCCATTTTTGCGTTGATTTCGAATCTGCAATTAGATTTTTTCTGTCACATCTTTTTTTTATTATTATTAATGAATTTGATTTTTCATGCTACAAATAACCCATGCAAAATTTCGATTCAAAATGTCATTTTTTCTTTTTTTTTTTTTTTGATCTTCTAAAGTTGATATTTAAAAATGTTTCTATTGAAAAATAGTTGAACTATTTAACATAATTTTTTTAATTCAATTTGTAAGTTTTAATTGACATCATTAAATAGAAAATTTTGAGAATTATCACCTTGACTTGTGAGGTTCGAACCTCGTAGCGCTATTGTAAATAGCTGCAATGTTACCAATGAGGCAACCGTACATCGCATATAGCCATAGCTAAAAAAGACAGTTCAAAATTCAAAGTCATTTTCTTAACTAATGAGATGTGAAATATTCAAAATAAATTTAACTTTATATTCAACTAACTGATTCGACAAACGTAACGTTGTTTTGCCATATAAATTATTTCTAGGAAATATTATTTTAGTTCAATAAAAATAACTAACTTACCATAAGTGTTTGGGAATGTACATATAATCGAAAGCGTTGTAGACAATGAAAGTATGCTTTATTTAGGTTAATAAATTATTCTTTATTAAAGTAACGAATATATTTTAAATTACAATTCTTAATTTTCAAGAATTTATCATACTACAGTTATTATATTCGATTGGGTTGTATGTATATTTGAATGCTGTACCATAAAAAAATAAAAACAAAAAATTTTATCTAAAAAATAAAAAAAAAACTAAAGGATGGATCACCCTTAACATTTAGGGGTATAAAAAATAGATGTTGACCAATTCTCAAATCTACCCGATATGCATACAAAATTTTATGAAAATCGGTCAAGTTATTTCGGAGGAGTTTGGCAACAAACACCGCAACACGAGAATTTTATATATTAGAGGAAAATTAGTTGTATATAACTTTTATAAAGATCGGTAGCCTCAATACTTTAGCAAACCATTGTAAGGTATTTTAAAATAAAACATAATCTAACTGTATTTTTTTTTAATAAAGACAATTTCATATTGAATTTTTTTGGAGGGGGACACTTCCTTTGTTTTCATGACTTTGGAAAACGTACAAAATTAAAAAAAAATGGACTGAAATAAAACAGTTTTTTAACTAGGTCACATAGACGTTAAGTTTTTCTTTTTTAGTTTATAGTACGTAACATTAGTTTTAATGTTTAAAGGATGCAGTATTTCCGGAACATTTTCAAAAGTTAAGTTGAAAAAGTTATCATTAATGCAAAAGTTTCTGTTTTTATCCTCCCTGTGGACAAGTAAAAGGTCAGATTTCTAAAAATTGCATTTCTAATGAAAGAGAAATACCTAAAGTATTTATGAAAAATAGATAATATAATTCATTTATTTTTCAAAATGCTATGACAGATTTAAGTAAACAAAACGACACAGACCAGCACATAAGTATGTTAAGTAATCTTGAATGGCGACCACCGGAAACAATATTTTAACAGCAACTAGTTAGGGTAGGTACTTCTCATGACGATGATAACCGAAATATAACAACACAACACTGACTCCTACTGTACCATCATAATCTGACACGACTGAAAATTATTTAAAATTAAAAATACATTAGAGACCTTTTTATTTCAAATATGTCTGACTTGCAACATTTTGTTTGTTTTTTGTGTTTGTCACTACTTTTTTTAAGCTCTCAAGGACTGATTTCTTTCAATGATACGTCAAAAGATCAAAAATTGTTTCTAATTGAAGACATTACGCACAAAAATTGAACAATTTTCTATCGTTCGCCGTAAATGGTGGAAATTTCCTAAAAAATTACGATTTTTAAAATCGATAAATTTCGATATTTTTTCTCTTAAAACTGCCTTAACTTTTTGAAAAATAAACAAATCAAAATAACTTTTTTTTACAGGGAAATCTTAGGTATTTAAATTTTATTTAATATTAGTTTTTTAAGCTCAACTTTTCAACTTAATTTTTTAAATGTTTCGGAATTACTGCGTCTTTTAAACATATGTTAATTTAAAGCCTACATTATGAACTATAAGTTAAAAAACAAATTTATACCCACGATCTATTTTCTATATGCAAAAAGGCAGTGAAAGTAGGACAAATATAAAAATATACAATTAAAATATATAATATATCATTGGTGCCACAAGAAGCGTAACATAACCTTTTTTTCTCTTATCACGGAGGAGCAGTAGGTGATATGTGGTATCACGCTACAACCTATACTTGTCCCAACTATGCCACGACCTCACTGTGATACTGTTTTTTTTAAATTTACTGAAAATGTTTAAACTTTTTCAAAATCTTGAAAAAATCTCTAGTCTAATCAAATGAAAAATTTTAGTATATGAAAGTTTAGATCTTAATAAAACTTATAAAAATAAAAAATGTTGATATTTATTTTTCACCATTCGTTCAATTATAGTCTCTATTTCTGGCCTCAGAAAATAGATTTATCACAAATTCCATTAAAATTATTCAGATTATTATTATAAGATATCTTAATATCCTAATAACTAATACGAGCAGGACTACCTTTAAAAATTGTGCCAACTAGGGCATTCGATTTGGCCACACCGATTAATTTTTAAAAAGGGTCTACCCTCTATAATTTATGTTTTTGTGCCGCCCAAGGGACGTGTACCCACTACTTCCATAGATGCGACCCCGGCTACGAGACCCTTATTTCAAGTTAATTTATTATTAAAATAGCATAACATGATAACTATGTTGTATATAGGAAAACATAAACCTAGTGGTATACAAAAACTAGTTGATCTAAAAGATTTAAAACTCGAAAAAGATACTTTTCGATCACTTCAGATGCAATCAGCAAATAAATTTTGGAAGGCTATAGAAAGAGCTCAGAATAATTTGAATATATACAACAAAGATGATATCATGGATGAAATTAAAGATGAACTTAGAAATTATATATGGAATTATTTTGAATATTGCACTCATTTGCCTACATGGCCTGATCTAACCCCCACAATATTTGATAACGATGATATACTTGGGTTACCGCCAATCGGTGAGTATAAGTGATTCGTTTTACATTTTATTATTAAACTTTTTTATAATAAATCAGTGTTGACGGATGGTGTATTAAAATCGCTAAAAATTCCAAAAATTCAGTACTCGTCAGCTCTAAATCAACGAATACCGTTAGGAGGTTCTGCTGTTTTTCATACTGGTCGTTGGATGACAATAGAAATGGGTAAAATATTAGCAACAATAATTGTGAACCTTGAAGAAAAAACGCCTAAAGAAAAAATTAAACTTATAAAAGAAAAAGCTAAACGACAAAATATCGTAATATAATTTTAATCATAGTTAATTATTAATTACAAAATATTTAGCTATCCTAAATAATAATTAAAATAACTAAATATTTTTATTTACATCAAATTTATTTTAGGAAAAAAATAAGTTTATTGCTCAACAGAAAAATGAAGAAAAATTGAGACAAGAAAAAAGAACCTTGGGAATTGTTCCAGAACCAAGCGAGTTTAAAGAAATGTTTAAAGAAGTATTTGATGAATACGTTGGTAATTGGAAATTGTTTGAAGGTAAATTAGATAGAGGATATCGAGAGGATTTGATAACTGACGATGTGTACGCTAACGCAAAAGTTCATTTGAGAGCTGAAGTAGATGGAACTATTGTCAATGAATTAGAAAATCTAAAAGCCTTATTTGCTCGAGATAGAGGTGCTACGTTACGGTAGAATATTTTAAAATATAATAACAGTTGTTGATGTTAACTTCAAATTTAACTATCTAAAAAAATTATTATCTGATTGTTATTAAAAATTATCTTGAGATAGTTTGTTTTTAATATAAACATTTTTTACTTTAAGGTAAAAAGTATAAGCAACTTAAAATTAAAGAAAAAAGTATACCCAAAAAAAAAAAAAAAGAGAGTAAACTACCTGAACCAGGAGAAATATTTGAAGAACTTGTTCGAAATGGAATAATAAAAAAGACAATAAAAGCAAAATTTGATGAGTTTAAGGGTGAAGTTTCATTCAGTGCTAACAGATTATGGTCAGAACCATACTTTATGGACCAACCTTATGGACTTGGTGATGTTCCTCAAGTTAGTCAATATTTATTGCTTTAAAATTATATTGCTTGTTTCATACGAGAAGGTTTTTATAATTTAGATATTAAAAGAATTATGTATTTTTGGTTTATCTTGTCCAGAACTACGGAATTGTAAAAATATCGAGTTTGCTTCCACAATTCTAATCGCCGGACCGGAAAAATCTGGAAAGACTTTATTAACTGATGCTATTTGTTGGCATACCAGCTCAATGAAGATTCATCTCAATTATAAAAATATATTTGAAAATTATCCTAGCAAAAAAGATGTTACTAGATTAGCTGGCATAGTATCAAAAGTGTTACTTGATATTACAAAAACTCTAATTGTGTTTAAATATCATCTATTTATTTGTATAGCTAGCCAAGGAATATCAACCAGCTGTAATAGTTTTAGATATGATAGATGTCTCGTTTTATAAGAAAATTCCAAAAGAGTTGAAGAAATTCAATCCTAAACTAGTATCAATTTTTCTTGGAAAGTTTCTTAAAACTTTAGTGAAAACCGATAGAATTATAATAGTTGGGAATGCAAGAAGTCCTTGGTTATGTAAAGAAGAAAAGCTCGTGTGTAGTATAATTTACTAGCTAGTTTTTTGAAACCATAATTTTAATTTTATTCATTACTGTGGAAACTTGCATTCTTATTCCTGTTTATACCATATTTGGTATATTTTATAATTATATTTTTATAGATACCAGTATTTGGCAAAATATTATTTACTGTAGCTGATTATAGCTCGACTTTAATGCACTTGTACAACATACTAATGGCTTACCCAGCAATTAATCGCGATTTCCCGGTTACTGCGTTAGCTATTGTATTGAACGGCTATCCATTATACATAATTTCTGAAATGGTAACTGAAGTGCTAACATTAGAAAGACTACTAACACTTAAGCATATACCACTGGATGCTAAAGAATTTATACCAGTTATATTGTCTAAACCAAAAGTTAATCCATCACTCTATCACAATTGGTATAAATTAAAGGAACCGCTGGCTATTAAAAAATCATTGAAACTGTTGGCAGATTCACAGACAAAAAAAGAAAAAAAGAAATAGAACAACAAATATATTATTTATGTATTTATTTTTTTAATTGTAATAATACAAAAATAAGGTTCTATGTGGATGTATATTTATAATGTATATATACTGACCAAGTTTGGGTATGTTTGGGAATTTGGTCAATTGGTGAGCAACGAGGTTCTATCGAGGTTGTAGAGTCCGAGAGTTTAGAACAATAAAGACAAGTAGATATGAAAAGAAATAATTAAAGTTCCTCTTATAGAGATATTATTAATGACCCAACTGGTAAATACCTGTAATAATATACTGGGGCAACGAAGAAGCGGTGGCCATCTCACGAATACCATGTAATGTGACTATGTATAATGTACGAACTAGTCAAGTAATAATTAAATGGAGTTTAAATATTAATATAAATATTTGATCTATTGCTTTATCATTCTTTAATTAGATTATTAATTATATTAATAATATAATTAATATATAAGTATATACATCCAAAGAAAAACCTCAATCAATTTTGATAGAAAAATTTTATCAAGGGTTTATGATAATGTTTTATTAATACGAATAAAATAATTATTCTTATAAATAATTATTGTTCAAGACAAGAAAAAAAATTATCATATTGATAAATATATCATAGATTCAATAGTAATGATATATTTATGAAATTGAACAATGAATTTATTATATAGATCGAGGTTTTTCTCTGGGTGTATCTATACTAAATAATTGGGTGTTAATATAAGTATTGACTCTTATTAATTTTAAATCTTACTTGATAATTTTTCTTTGTTCTTGTAATAACTTTTTATAATATCTAGTAACAACAAAATAACATAAACTCAAATGTTAAATTCATAAATTAACAAGTGAGAATTTCGACAATGGTTTCGAATACGAACTTTACGTATCGATGATTGAGAGTGCGATTAGCACAGTCCTCAAATATCTGAAGATAGACTCTCTCAAGCCCTCAGCACTGACTGAGAAGAATTCCTCTGCCTTTTATTTTATTTTGTATCCCTAAACAATCATCATTGTGTTATTCTTGTAATGTTATTGTTTATTGATAAGTATGCATAATATATATAAATTAATATATGTGAATAATACACGAATCACTTTTATATAACATAAATATAGTTTGTTTTTACATTTAAGATTACGGTTGACACATTGTGTTTTATTATTAAGATAAGAGTAAAAAGAGCTGACAATTATAGTTTATAAATTTATTAAAGAGTTTTTTTTTTTTAATTTTTAAAGGAGACTAATAATTGACTCATGAATTAATCCATATGTAATATAATATAATTAAAAGACAGTATGCGTTTGTTAAATATTTCTCTAAATTATTTATTTAAATTGTTTGTTTATTCTAAGCATATGAATATAATTTATAAATAAAACAGTTAATTATCTTAAATGAAAAACCATTATTGTGGACACAAACAGAGCAGCTCTCTATTATTCTGTATTATGATAGTGATGAATATATTACGACATATTGATCTTTATAGCATTGGCATCTCTAGGTATAAGCTAGAAAAATTTACAATAGGTTTACAATAACAAAATGATGAATACAATGATATTAAAATAAAAAGTACAGGAACAATATTTTTTTTAACATAGAGGTTATTAAAAAAAATGTATTTTTAGCTTAGATGCGAAGCTGAGAAGGTATTGGTTTTACTATGTGTTTTTTTTTTTTTTTTTT